CAGCTTTGGTGAGCATGGAGAATGGCACAGAGCTTCACAGAGTACCACGGCTCCAGAAGACCCCACACCAATTGCCACCACCACTTCATGGCTGGAGGATGCGACAAGTGACCCTTCTGTCAAAATTTCCATGAATCTACTAATCACAACACTACTGACGAAAGTAATGTCATCAAGTCTGCACTGTTAGTGCCAATGAACAAATCAAGACTCAGTTAATAAGACTGTTAGGAGAATCAATTTTTTAAGCTTATTTTCACATGCAAAAAAATTAAGAAAAGGCTCCAATTAATTTTCCAGCTATAGACTATGCAAGCGTATACCAGATTTAGTACCCTGGAGCATATCCAAAGGAAACCCACTCGGTCACCTGCTCTCCATCACCCAAGCTACTGCAAGCCTCCTCCCAGTAAGGTAAGACAAATCCCTATTAAAAATGGTCTCCTTCGTTACAGAATTTATACTTGTTTATGTCCAGCCTGGTTCTGGGGTGCAAATGGACTCCCCAAGGCTGGAAGATAGTTCCCACCCTACCAGCTCTCCTCCTGATTTAATTTGCTTGGGACAAAGATTATGTTCCACAAGGAGATACAGCTGGGGGTGAAAGGTTGCCTCCTCAAAAATGGAAATTTCAGTTTCAGGCTACGCAAAATAAATAAGTAAAAATACAAATGACCTCTGGGTTTGCAGTTTTTTGTTTGTTTGGCTGGGATTTTTTTAATCAAGAAAGGCTCACTTTTGAACACTGTTGATGGATATTTTGGGTGACACAGGAGGCACAGGCAGTTCGCCAGAAGAGCAGCGCTTTTGCTATACATGACTGCTGCAAAAGGACAGACATTTTTGTACTAATGGACACTATAAATAGCAGATCCAATGGGTAAGTCAAATCCTCACAGGGCAGCTATTGAGACTTTTCATAGTTTCCTTATGGTTCAGTTAAAGTTCAAGGAAGCCTAATGATAAAGAACAAAAAAAGAAAAAGGAGAGTTAACCAGCCTGGATGCCAGGCAAATTCTTCACAGCCTAAAAGCTCTGGATTCATTAGAGATAGTTTTGCTTGTAGAGATTTATTTTCCTTTTCTTTAAGCAGGTAAACATTCTCTGATTCTACTTTGTGCCACAAAAAGTGGCACTGACAAATGACAAGTAACACCAAATATGTGTTTCTTGAGGGCAACAAGGACCTTGGCTTCACGTAAGACTACAGCACAACAAAAAATGGCAACATGGCTTTCTTTGCATTTTGCAGAGAGTAAAATGCTGCTCCTTTTTACCAATGTGTCAGCTGCTCATGATACAAGACACAGACTGTCTCCCAGTCTGATTTCAGGGAATGCGGTACCCAAAGGTACAGGTGGTCCTCAAATGTGATGTCCGTAACGGAGGGGAGACATTGTGAAAGATCCTGAGCACGAGCTTTTGAAAGCCCCCTGACAACGAGCAGGCTGAGTGAAAAGGCCAGGAGCTAATACACAGGAACGGTGATTCTGCCACTCCCTTAAAAATTGTCACTTCAGACCTAGCTCCGACCGGGCTGTCAGGCCAAGTCTGCCCAGTTGTCGCTAGTGCCACAGCTGCTCTCTGGCAGGATCAGAGGACTCAGCCCTGCTGAGAGGGCAGGCACCCGTCTTGGGCACTATGCTAATTTAAAACAAAGTTAAAACTCAAACGAGTAAGCGCTCAGCGCTCCTGGTTTTGGAAAGCAGCCTAATTCTTCTACAAACCCCAGCCACCAACATAGCAAATCAGGACATCTGGAATCCCCTTGCCCCGCAGAACTCAGGGACACAAACCCTTTCAGAGTATGGGGACGCACAGGGGATGCTAACCAGCTGCTGATGGTATGGGGAACAGCAACCTTTCCTGTTTGCTGGGTTTAGAAGGCCTGGTGATTCCAAAAGCTACTGCCCTCCTCATAAGCACACCCAAGGGCACAACAGCTGCCCAATCCTCACCCCAGCTTACTCTGGCACCAATGTTTACACTGCAGTAGGCATCATGCAGACGCTGCCTCCAGACACCTGAGAGCCCCCCTTCACTGACAGAGGCTCTGCCAGGGACCTCAAGTGAGGTTACATGTCAAAGCATGGCTACAACAGAACCAAAGGTCTGGGATCAGATCCTGTACAAGGCCAAGATATCATTTCAAAGCCTTCCT